GACAGAGCAGAGGGCCGGTGGTGGAGTGGGGGAGGGGTGGTGCAGGCAGGGGTGGGGTGGGCGCTGGCTGTTCCAGGGCTGTTGGCTGTACAGCCATCTCGGGGCCTGCTCTCTGGCCAGCGAGGGTCGCCGTTGGCTGCTGGCCCTCCATGCCTGCCCTTAGGGCGTCAGTGTTTTGGAGGCAGCTGCCCCTCTGGCCTAGGTCGGCCTGGACACTCTTATGGGCCTTGTCCAGGCAGCTTGGGCGGGGTCGTCCCTTGACAGACAGCAGCCGCTCGACCATCTCCTCCAGGGTACATTCCTGTTCTGTGGTGTGGGAAGCTGGGGTCAGGGCAGAGGAGGTAGGCAGGGGCAGCGAAAAAGGTGTGGCCCCTCCCTCAGGCCGGGAGCAGGTCAAGGATCAAGGATGGGCACCGCCCCCCACAGTCTAAGACGCCAGGGTTTGCCCACCAGCTCGGTCACTCACCATCACTGGCCAGGAGCACAGCCCGGTTTACCAGGCTCTCCAGGGCTTCCCAGAGCAGCTGGCTGGAGCGGAGGGTGGGCTCCAGGTGCAGGAGGCCCTGCAGCACTGACAGCAGCTGGGCAGATGCCGGGGAGCAGCTCACCTAGGCGGGTGGACAGGCGCATGTCAGCGGCCACCCCCTTCCTGGGACGGGCTGACAACTGCTGGCTTCAGTTTACCAGAAGCATCCACCCCCGACCACTCCGTGCCTCTCAGGCCCTGGTGATCAGCCTGTGTCAGGGTTCCCCAAGCACTGCACTGGTGATATTTGGGGCCAGATCACTCTCTGGGTGGAGGGTTGCCCCGTGCATTGTGGGATGTTTAGCAGCATCTCTGGAAGCCAGTAGCATCCCTGCCCAATTGTGACAACCCAAATGTCTCCAGATGTTTCTGGATGCCCCCTTGGGGACACTCGCTCTGGGCTGAGAGCCACTGGGTTCAGTAATAGATGGGAGGTCCCAGCCACAGAGGCCTGAGTTGGACCAGAATTCAGCCTCCTGGTCTCCCACTGGTTCCGAAGTCCCCTTAGTCCATCTGATGGTAGCCAACCCTGGCCTTGGAACCCTGTCCTCCTGGGTCCTATGGCCCTGGCTCTGTCCTGGGACCGCCCAGACCAGTCCTGGGCTGCCAGCTCCAGGCTCCGCCTCTTCCCAGCCCCTGGACCCTGGCTGCCCCCTGGGTGTGGCTTCAGATCTGGCCCCACTGCCTCACCACGGTGGGAGTGGGGGTGGGGCCAGAGCCGCGATGCGGCCCCGCCAACCCGGGGACAGTCGCTAGAGAGCTGCCCCACCAGGCCCACCTTGTGGAACAGGGAGGCAAAGACCTCCTGGTGGCTGTTCATGTCCACGCCACCGCACACGTGCAGCAGCTCCTCCTCGTCCTCGGCCTTGGCCTCTTCGAAGGCCTCGAGCTGGATTAGCAGGTCAGCGTCCTCCAGGTCCCTGGCATGGGAGGGCGCCAGGGTGGTTGAGCCTGCAGCTCCCACTAGCCTCCCAACCCGACAAGACGCACAGACAACGCTGAGCAGGGCCCGTGGCCAGCACATGGCCATCGCAGCCAGGGGGCAGCTGAGGTCTGTGGGGCTGGCCTCCCTGGTCAGGGGCGGTGGCTCACAGGTCTGAGCCTGGCACCCTCTGGGCTGCCCAGGAGTCAGCAAGCAGCTCATGCCCCTTGGGAAGGGAAGAGCAAGTTCTCACTCACAGGGAGAGATGCCGTCCAGAGAGGGGCAGGAGGATGTGCTGCAAGGGGCACAGAACGAGGGAGGGCCCCTTCCGGGTGCTGGGAGGGTGGCACCAAGACCACACCTGAGGGGCTTCCACCGTGGAGGGGCAGAGCTTCTGCCCTGAGCAGCGGGACCCTGAGTGTTCATTGGGCCCAGGGCCTGCCAATCATCTCAGCATGGCCAATGAGCTGCACCCTCAGTGGCAGGGTGGGCTCCTCTCAGACCTTTGCCTGAGGCCAGGTTAGCACCGCTCAGTCACACCAGCCTCACCTCTTCTTCCCAGGGTCCCCCCACCCCAACTTCACTTCCTAGTGGTGGGGGCCCCACCTTGGAGAGTGGTCCTAATGAAGCCCCAGATGGGGGTTCTCAGCTATGTGGGTTCCCAGGTACCCAATTAAATTTGAATTTCAGATAAACAAGGAGTGGTTTTTAGCATAAGTATATCCCATGCAATATCTGGTCAATATGTGGTCACTTACACCACAAAAATGATCTGTAGTCTGTTATAACCGATTTAACTGGGTACCTTGTGCTGTATCTGGCAACCCTAGTTTCTAGAGGCAGCTGCCAAGCCCCTGGTGGGAAAATTCCAGAGTTCTTGCTGGGACCCGGAGGCGCTCCCTGCCCATCTGGAGGCTCTGCTGGGGACCTAAGTGGGAGGTGGGCCTGGCCCTGGGGACTCACCTAAGCCGCGTCAGAACATCCAGCAGCTGCAGGCCTGTGGAGGCACAGAGGGGATCAGCGGGCCTTGCAGGCTGCTCAGGCCAGCTCCCCACCCCGGGGTCACTTGTACCTTCGGACACCTTCCCCTGGGCTCACTCCTTCTACCCACAGTACCCAGCCTGTGGGGCGGGAGAGAACTCTGTCATTCCCACAGGACACCAGGGAGGCGAGGCTCTGAGGGAGACATCTCGCTGGACACACGGTGGTGCCCGTTAAATGGCCACTGCCACAGCTGGCAGGGCTGGGACTGGGAGTCAGGCATCCGCCTCGCACTGAGAGACCTCCTGGGCTAATAATGCCCAGGAGTCCTGAAGGCCCCGGTCCACTGAACGGAGCAGGTGGGGGCGGGAGGCTCCCAGACACATGACAGAGCCTTCTTCTGGGGCCTGGGGGGCTCAGGGCATCTCCGAAAGGGTGTTCAGTGCAGGCTGGGCTGGCAAAGGGGTCTCAGCAGCAAGGGGCCGGGGCACCGTTACCGATGAATTCACCACGCAGCTGGGTGCGGGCACGGAGGTCCTCGGGGCCCAGGATGATGGCGTTGATCACACTGAGCAGGGTGACCACATAGGGCACGTTGTCGCTGTTGGAGAGCTCGTTCATGATGACGCTGAAGCGATACTGCTGGCTGCACACCGCCTGTGGGTGGTGAGGGCTCAGCCTGCGCCCCAGGGCCCCCAGGCCCCCACCACCCCACCACTCACCTTGTAATGGTCCAGGGCGTCCAGGGCCAAGGCATGGCCCTCGGGCGAGTAGATGCACAGGGCGGCCAGCAGCTCAAACACCTGCTTTTTGACCATCACGTTGGATGTGTCCAGAGCTGCCGAGGACAAGGGGTCTCAGCGGGGCCCACGTCCCCAGGCCCGGCCCCTCCCTCCTCCCTATCAGCTCTCCTCCTTCCTGTGTCTGGCTCCAGCCTGAACTCCCACACTTCGGAGGCAGACACATGTGGGGAAGGGGACTATGCACCCACTCACCCCCACCATGTGCTGACCTCTCCAGGGGTGCTGACCTGCCTCCCAACCCCTGGGGCAGCCCCAGTCACTACAGTCTGCCCTTAGTTCTGTCCTCTCTGGCTCTGTGCCCTGGGCCAAGCCCGTCTCTTCTCCAAACTCAGTGCCAACAGCCTCCCACCTTGTCCCCTGAGCTGGGAAGCTTTTGGGGGTGTCCCTTGGCTGGCAAAGGACTTTACAGACGGGCACAGCCAGGCCGTAACTGAGTCAGACAGGAATGAGATGGCCTCTGTGTCACCCACACAGGCACCTGCCCCACAGGCTAGCCCACCTGTCAATGCCCATGGAAGAGCACAGCCTGGTGACAAGGGGCACACACTGACCACTGTCTACCAAGGGCCACCTGGGGCCTCTCCCAAGGGCTGAGGACTAACTATGGGCATGGCCTGCAGGACTTTCTGGAGGAGGTGACAGTGAGCTGGAACTTAAAAGGAGAGCAGGACTTGTAGACACACAAAGCAGAGCAGCCTGAGGTGGAGACGTGGGCCACTGTTCAGGAAGTCCCCAGCTGGCAGGAGCAGGGGACAGAGTGGGGCGAGTGGGTGACGCCGTCAGCAGATGCTGGCCAGGCCTGAAGGGCTGCTACCTGCCTAAGGTCGAGGGGTTCAGAGTCAGGGGGAACGTAAGCAGGGCCGTTCAGGTGGATTGTGTTTTTGACCCAGGTGACTCTGGCTGCCATGGCGGCATGGATAGGGGCCTGAAGGCCAGGGACCAGGGAGGGGGCGGGGCCTGAACCAGCACCAGGCCGGGAACAGAGCGGGCAACGAGGTGCAGCTGGTGGGGGGACCATGGCTCCAAGGAGACTGGGCAGTCTCAGACTTGAGGCGAATGGGGAACGTTCCTCCTCCAGGAAGCCCTCCCTGCCCGCCCAGCCAAGCCCTCCGGCCACCGTCTAGGGCCTGGAGCCTCCTACTGACTTCCTAAGGTGTGCCCGTGCTGCCCGCTGCCTTGCGCGCTGCCCACCCTGGGATAGCTGGCGCACGTAGGCCTGGTTGCTGAGGATGTACTGAATGCCGGGCTGCGAGTTCATGACGGCACGCACGCAGCTGATGCAGGTGAGCTGCAGCAGGGCGTCTGCAATGCGGGCCACGCCGCGGCCCGACAGGCGTGCCAGGGCCTCGAGCAGCAGGTCCAGGCCGCTCTGCTCCAGGAACTGCACCATCCAGCCGCCATCACTGCTCTCCAGGCGCTTGCGCAGACCGGAGTAGTTGACCACAGACGGCACCTGCAGTAGCCGAATGCACAGCTCGGGGTCCGCGTTCTCCAGGTTGGCCTCCGTGGGGTCTGTGTCCTGCGGCCCCAGCCTTTCCTTCAGCGCTGCCCACTTGCGCTGTGCACCCTGCTTCACCGACATCTTGCCGAACTGTGGGCCAGAGGGAGGCAGAGGTCAGCCCCACAGGTGGAGGCCATGCCCTCCACAGGGGCATCTCCGCCTGCCAGTCGGGGATTCACATGCTTCCCAACGACATTCGGGCCTCACGATGTGCTGGTAAACCCCGGGCCACCAGGGTGTCCCCTGTGCCAGGCGCTCCTCGAACCCATCGCTGACTGAATCACCATAGCAACCAAGGAGGCAGCAGCACTTCCTGTACGCAGGAAGACCCCAGGCGGCCACACTGGCAGGAACACCACCAACCCAGTGGTGATGATGCAACAGAAATGGCACGTGTGGGGCTCCCTTATCTCACTCCCAGGGTGCTTTCCCTGCTCAGTGGACAGGGTCAGATGGGCACAAGGGTGGACGGTGGGTGATTCGGGACCCTGGGCACTTTCAGACTGCCCTCAGCACCAGGAGTGTGGCTGGGGAGGAGGGTTGACTCAAAGGTGATGTCCAACACCCACCCAATTCCAGACAAGACCAGGGCCCCCAGGGGGAGCGGCCCCGCCAGGCCCCAGCTTCTGTGGGCCTCAGCTTGTCACCCTGTGTGCAGGTGGAGGACCGGGTGGTCCCCAGTTCCTAGGCATGTGGAGGTTTACCCAGATGCTGCTGCAACAGTTAGGACCCCTGCCCAGAATACCCTCCCCAAACGTGCTTCTCCCCAAAACAGAACAGCAGGACAGGCGGGCTGAGCCTCTGTGTCATCACCACACCCACCAAGCCCCCCTCCCGGGGCCCTTGGCTGTGACGCCGTCCTCAACCACAGTGCCTGGGAACTGGCCCCAAAGGTCAGGGGCGGCCCGGGCGCTCCTTCGACCATGTATGGCTCGGGTCTTATATTTAGCGTCTGAGAAGGGCAGCGTGGAGCCGCTGGGAGGAAGCCGGAGGAGCAGGCAGGGCCCGGCAACACCATGTGCCGCACGCCCAGGGCCTGGCCCCAGCACTGCCCACCCCTGACCCTCGGCCTCCCACCACCCCCGAGGCAGGCACTGTACACCCCCACTCTACAGGAGGGGGAATGAAGGCGGCGCCCAGAGAAGCCAGGTCACGTGCCCACGGCCCCAGAGCTGGAGACAGTAGGGCCAAGTGAGACTGGACCCCAGAGCGGGGCCTGGAGCCCACGAGGTGCTGGCTGGCCAGCTCGGCTTCACTCTAAGGGCCGCTGGACCTGGTACCTCAGAGGGAAAGCCAGGGGCCATCCGAGGTCACAACAGGGACAGAGGCTGCGTGGAGATTAGAGCCCAGTTATGTCTCCCTCCTGGAGGCCCTGCTCCCCTCTGCCTTGGTGAGGGTCTGGGTGCCCTCCCTCCTGCCTCCAGAGCCCACTCCCGGCCTGCTGGGAGCACAGAGCACAGCCCCTCCTGTTTGCTGTGGGTCCTCCCAGGAGGCAGCCTGGCTGAAGGGAAGCGAGGGCTGCACATGCGCCCAGCTCCGGCCCTTGCAGCAGACCCTGTCCTGAGTGAGCCTGTTTCCTCACCTCCGTCATCAGCCTGTTGGGGGCATCCTGAGAGTGGGCATGGACGTCCCCAACAGGCAGCTGAGGGGGTGTCGGGGTGTTCATCAGCCCTCCCCCAGGGCCCGCAGCCTTGGTCCTGATCGATGGAGAGCCCGGAGCCCTCCCCGTGACTCCATGGTCAGACCCACCCTCCCAGGTGTCGCCCCCATGGCCCTCTCAGCCCCCGCGCCGTCCACTCACCCAGATGCGCAAGACCTTCCTGCTGCCTCTGCCCACCCATTCCAGGCCCTGCCGCGGGCGGCCCCTCATGCTCTCCTGGCTCTTCATTGCTGCTGAACGCCCAGCTGCCCGGTGGCCAGCCCCAGCCTTGGTCCCTCCTGGGCAGGGGAGGGGGCCTGCACCATGAAGAGCACAGCAGAAGGCCTGCGCATACACTGCCACCCCCGTGGGTGCTGCTGCTTAAAGAGGCACCCAGAACTGACCCCCCTTCCCCGCCTCCATTGGCTCGAGTCCCTGTTTCCTTGGCACAGGCTGAGGGGACACAGAGTGACCTCTCCCAGGCCAGGCCTCTGCTATCCTAAGTGTCCTCTCCAGCCAAGAGCCCCAGGGGTCCCTGGATGCAGAAAAGCCACATCTCAGAGACAGCCCACATCACCTAGAGCTGCCCTGCCAGCACCGCCCAGTCCCCAGGGCCATGGTTCACTCCCCGGAAAGACCCTATGGGGTCCCCTTGGTCTGGGAGGGGGTGTGTGAGAGCACAGCAGGGGGTGATCGACCCCGCCTATCCAGGGAGATCCTAGAGTCGGCCGTGCCCCACCTGGCACCCAGTGGGGCAGCAAGTGTGCACAGGGCTCCACTGGCTGTGGCCAAGGTTGGACAGGGTGTCCAGCCAGGACAGGGAGCTCAGCTGGGGACCCAGTGGCCGAGGTAGGGGCAGCTGTTCTCCCTCTGTGATGCCCACCGGGTCAGGTCTTGGGCGGAGGACATCTCCCCACAAGTGTTCTGACTGCTTGTCAGGGTGAGGGACTGAATATACAAATGGACAACAGCCAGGCCATATATAGAGCTTGACCCACAACCTGCCAGGAAGCCAATTCTTCATCCGCAGGAAACAGCCTAGGAAGTGGCCTGCTCCAGTCAGACCTCTATCCCCAGGGACAGCCCCGGAAGTCACACAACCTCCCTGCAATCGTTGTACATACACCGGGCTTGATCAACTCATGGCTTCCCTAACTCTGTCCCCACTTCCAGTGTAGGACCCCAAGCAATCACCTGGAATACCCCACTTCTTGCTGGCTGCCCATGCCTCCTCAGGGCACCCCCTGAGCCTTTCTTCTATAAAGCTTTGTATGCACAGAAGATATTTTAATGTATTAACATATACGCCACATAATGTTTACATTACATGCACGCATGTGGATATAGCAACAATTAACACATATACACACATAAAACCACTAAGCTCTCCCATTCCCCAGCCCGCCCAGTGCAGTGGCCGCGGCTGACTCCCAGCTCCGAATAAGCACCTTTGCCGCTCCCATCTGGGCAGGGAGCATGGAGCGGGTCCCGTGTGTGCTGCTCCAAGGAGCAGGGCTGCGGGGAACACCCTTCCTGACAGTACCCTGGACACCAGCACCCTGGAAGGTGCGGCCTCAATCCTTGGCTGACTCTGTTCTCCATCTGGAAAGCTTGTATCTCAGAGGGTTGCAGTGGGGACCCCGTGAAGAAATTGGCCCTGGTGGGCGCACAGTGAGCTCTCAGGAACGCTTGAGGATGTTGTAATATTGCGTGGGTGCCAGGTCCTCCGCCCTCAGCCCTGCCCAGCCTGTGTCTGGCTCCCAGCTAGGCCTGGTGCCCAGACCAGGTGTGGCAGCAGGGACCTTCCTGGGCACAGCCTCACTAAAGTGGGCGTGGCCAGCCTGCTCTGGGCGGGCCTCCGGCAGGGGCGGGGCCACAAGCTCAGGAATGTGATGTCTTCTCAGAGCGCCCCCAGCGAAGGGGCGTGGCCGGCCTGCCCTGGGTGGGCTCTGCACAGGAATTGGCATTTGCAGAGCTTTTTTCAGCCAGCACCACAGGCCATTGCAGAGCAGGGCCATCAAGGTCCAAGTATCCCGCAGCTCAGGCCAGCTAAAAGGTCAGAGGCACTTCAGCACCTCCATCTGCCCCTGAGGCGGGTGCCTCTCCCCCTGCACCAATGGAACTATGGAGGGCAGGGGCTTTTGCAGATGAAGACCATGAGGCTGACATTGGTGGATATTTCACCTTTTTCTACCAATAACGTGGGGTTTCCGCTGGTATGGGGTCATGCCTTCCCCCTCAGAGTTCCCCTGGGGTCAGCCCACTGACCTGGTTGTCCTGCCCGTGGGTGCTTACCCAACCCACACAGGGGCTGCCTTGAGGACCTGGAAGAGATGGGGACACTGGTCCAGTGTGCTCTTGGCCACTTCGTGCAACACTTGTGTGCCTTCCTGCCCAGGTTTAGCCAGCCTGGCACAGCGATGCTTGCACCTCCACCTGGGTGCTCACGTGCCTGGGCAGCTGCATTGACAAGGAGCTAGGAAGGTGCCACCCCTGCCTGGCAGTTGTCTGTCAAGCAGGGTGTGTGCGTGCGTGCATGCGTGCGCGCGCGCGCATGTGTGTGTGTGTGTGTGTGTGTGCGCAAGTACATGTGTGACCGGCTCCCTGGACTTCAGAGACCAGCTACCCAGGCCCTGCGATGATGGAGAAACTGAACCACAGAGGGCAAGCCTCTGAGGCTGGCACTGAGGACCACGCTGTGTCCTGGGCATGAGCCTATCGAGCTTTGAGCAGTGTGACGGGTGGGGAGGCCCGGACTCGAGGCTAGAGCTTGGCACCCTTGCAAAGGGAGTGTTGCGTTCTGTTCCTTCATTCCTGCAAGGGTTGGTGGAGGGCATCTGGGGACCCAGGGCTGAGGGGTGGGGCCAGGGAACGTATGGGCTGGGGGCTGGGGACATGGGCACCGGTGAGAAAGGCTAGCTGCCTGGGGTGGGGAGGCAGCATCAGCGCGGGGACTGGGGTGCTTCCGGGCCCAGAGCCAGCGGGGGCGGGGTGGGAAGCGTGTGCTTGTCTTCCCTGGGGTGGGCGGGTAGGACGGCAGGATTCCGGAACCGGGCGGCAGGGGCTGCCACACTGTATTTTTAGCTCCTCCAAGAACCCAAATTTTTCCACTGCCTGGCAACCCTTGGATTGAGTTTCCTGGTAGCTTCCTACAGCTCAGGGGCAGCCCAGGCTCTGCAGAATGAAGAGAGGCCCTTGGCGCTGAGACCGCCAGTCTATGACCCCCTGTTACTCTCCCGCCTACAATCTTGGGTCCTTTAGAACCTCTGGTGCCTGCGTCATCTCCCCCCCAGGCCTCGAGCCCTCAAGGGGCTTCGAATGACCTGTGTGGGTCACCTGGTGAGCTCATACCAGGTGGGGCATCCTGTGCGGAGTGAGCCTCAAGGGAAGGAGGAGGAATCGAGCGTCCACCCATCGCCAGCCCATCCAGAGGTTCCGAGTGCACAGGGCCTCGGGTTGGCAGTGTCCTCACTGTCCCCTGGCCCATCTCATGTCCAAGCAGTCCTAGGATGGAGTGGAGGGCCCCTGCCCGGCTACTGCAGTCAGCGGCCAGCAGCAGGACAGAAGGGGCCCCCTGGGAGGGCACTAAGGTATTCATGGCAGTGCCAAGTAAAAACAGAGACGAGGAACAGGACACCAAGTCACACTGGGTAGAATTCAACCACATGAAATGTGACGTGTCACACAGGACACGTGCCTGAATACTAGCAAAACTGCACTGGGGTGAATATGGTCATATTCATAATTAGAAAGAGAGAGCGAGGGAGAGAGGGAGAAGGAGAGAGAGCTCGCGAGAGAGAACCAACAGCATCTAACAGGGAGCTGGGCTCAGAGCGGCCCCCCCAGCTCAGGTCACCAGGGAGCAAGGGGCACGGCCAGCAGCTGGGCCCCGTCCACAGCACTGCAGCAAAGCACCGGTGGGCCCCGATAGTGGAGAGGGGTGGGGGTCTGGACTGGCCGCTCTGAGAGCTGGGGGACATTACTGGTCAGACAGCCAGGCCAGGGCTCAGCCCACTGTGTCCGGGGCAGGTCAGAGTGATGTCAGACACACTGTACCCAGGCCTGGCCTGGCTGCCTCCTCCAGGACCCCACCCTCCTGGGTCAGGAACAGAAGCCTGTGGAAGGCAGAGGCGGGGAAGGACTCAGGCAAACAGGCCACACCTATTGGAAGGGGTGGGCAGTGCGCTGTCCATGCTCACCTGGTGCAGGGTACTCAGAGTACAGCCCTAAACTAAGCTGGGCTGTGTTTTCTGGGAGGGCCCTAAGCTGGGCTGTGTTTTCTGGGAGGCAGGGGTGGTCTGGGACAGCCCCTCCCCCAGCATAGCCTAGCTCTGCTCGAGGACAGGAAGGGTGGAGACAAGGGGCGGGCGCCAGGAAGCCTTGCTTTCGCTTCCACCTACACTGAGGTTTGGCAGGGAAGGGTCTGCCCTGGCCTCCCGCTGTCAGAGGGGCTAGCTCCGGGCCTCAGCCTTCACAGATGCACAGAGAGCTGGGCTGATGGCGATGTCCCCAGGGGCTTGCCCGCCTGCCCCAGCACAGGGAGGGGCATGCATCTCCCCTCCCGCCATGACAGTGGCCTCTGGCGTCTTCTGTGCCCAAGTCAGTTCTGACAGCAGACATGGAGCCGGTGATGGCTACAGACCTGTGCTTAGGGGTTGGGGAAGGCGGGGAGCTCGGAGGTCCCACAGGTGGCCCGGCGGCAGGTGGCCTGGTGGCGTCTGAATGTGGCACTGCTCTGGCGCAGGCCCCTGCACCTGCAGGGCTCCGAGGCTGCCCCAAGAATGCCACTGCCCGGGTTTCCTTCTCCCAAGACCAGACTCAGCACAGAGATGCCCCATCCAGGAGACCCCGAGCAAAGGCCTTTCCCAGCCTAGGAGGAGCCTGGGGGCCCAAGGAGGAGAACGCTCTGATGTGTGTGCTGGTCTAGGCCGCAGGGTGTTGGGTGGGACCTGAAGGCTGCCCACTGCCTGCCCCAGCGGCTGGCACCAGCCCTGTCCTGTGTCCCAGCTGAAGCCTGCCTGCCCAGAGCAGCGAAAACAAAGCAGCAGATTGAGGGTGGAGGAGGGGCCCCAGCCTGCACAACGGGCACTGCCAGGGGCTGCGGCCAGGGCCAGGGGAGGGGGGACGGGCAGGGGGCAGCTCAGGTTCTGGGTGAGACCAGGCTCTGCCGCTGACCAGCAGTGTCCCTTGGACAACCCACAAGACTTCCCAGGCCCTGGGTTCGTCCTCAAATGGATGTGAGCATCTCAATGCTCACCCCACAGGCTGGGAGGCCCTGCTTCGCGTCCCTGGGCCGCCTGACCCCAGGCAGCCAGCGCCAAAAGCCCAGCCCAACCGGACAAGCGAGCTCTCCAGCCTGTGGCGCAAGGTGCTGGTGGCAGTGCCTGCTGGGAGCCCAGGGGGCCAGGCCCATTCTGGACTCGCATTTGACCTGTAAAAT